CTCTGTTCCCTGGGAAGAAGAACAGCTTTCCCCCTTGTACCAGTTCCTATATTCCCCAGCCCTCTTCTTCCCTGTTGGTCAAAATCGGTGCCAAAACTCCCCAAGGCCTTCTGGGGATTGTAGGCCCAGCCTCCCTTACTGCTAGCCAGGCTCCCTGGGCCTAGTAGGCCTCTGGTGGCACAGCCCAGATCATGACAGGGCATAATGCCATAGAACCCACCTTCCAAAGGGGCAGTTTCCCCCAGGTAGACTGATCTCTGTCACCTGGGGATCAGTTGTAATAGTGGGTGATCTCCAGCTACTGCCTGGAGGCTGGCAACCCTAAAGGTTCACTTGGACCGCTTGTGTTGAGAGTGACCACAGTTCAGTAGCAGAGAACAGCCCTTGGCATGCAAAGAGATCTGGAATTCACCACCAGAGGATGTAGCGATGGCCACAGGCATAGACACCTTTAAAAGACAGATGTATGTACTTGGAAGGGCTGTCATGTAGAGAGGATGGTACGGAGTTGTTTTCTGCTGCCCCAGAAGGTCAGACCAGAACCAACAGTTTGAAATTAAATCAAAAGGGTTTTCGGCTAAACATTAGGAAGAACTTCTTGACAGAGCGTTTCCTCAGTGGAACAGGCTTCCTCGGGAGGTGGTGGGCTCTCCTTCTTGTGAGATTTTCAAACAGAGGCTAGATGGCCATCTGTCGGCAATGCTGATTCTGTGAACATAGGCATATCACGAGAGGGAGGACAGGACGGGTTGCCTCAGTGCTTAGTTCTCGTGACCCTTTCTTACACGCCCAGGGAAATGCTGATCGACACTTTGGGGTCAGGAAGCAATTTTTCTCCAGGCCAATTTGGCCGGGGATCCTGGAGATTTTTTGCCATCTTCCAGGCGTGGAACAGAGGTCACTAGGGGTGTGGAGAGGGAGGTATTTGTGAATTTCCTGCATTGTGCAGGGGTTGGACTAGATGACCCTGGAGGTCCCTTCAGATTCTATGATTCATGGAGGAGAGGTCTATCAGTGGCTACCAACCTCTTTCGCTAGCCCGCTTACAGTCATCATAATGAATGCAGAAGGGAAAATTACCTAGGAAATATTTGGAAGATACAGCCATGAAAGGAATTCCATGATTAACTTTTGCTTCCTGTCTTTATTGCACCTAGCACTTCAAGTCAACAAACAGCCGAGACCTTGGTACAGGACGTAGCCTGAGATAGCGAATGAGTACAAAGAACCAAGCACACAACTGAACAGTCCAGTTTGCCACAAATCCCATCCTTTGAGATGTGTCTTAAGAAACTTTGCTTCACAATGAAGAGCTTTACAACAGCGGTCAGATCTGCAAGAGATCCTCTTCCCTAAAGGGCTGAGCACTCTGTGTATGTTTAGACGGGCACAACCTAGAACAGGAATTGACCTTCTAGCTGGACACATAACAGCGCTGTGTCCTGCCAGAAAGATCCGTAGGAAACCCAAACTCTCTTTGCATAGTAAAGAATTGGTGTTGAGTGCAGACAACGATCCATTTCATGCACCGCTGAAAAATCAAGTGAAGGAATGTGAAAATGAAGCCAGAGATACAGTGGTTAATGGGCTAGTGCTGAATTCATGAAGTTCATGTGCCCTAGTTACGGTCTTTCAGCCTATTTATTTATTAGGGGTTTTTTTTAGTTGCCACTCACCTGAAGGGTGTCATGGTGACTTACAACATTAAAACTAAGAAGGCAAAAACAACCATACCAATATCAAAACAGCCCAAACACGTGGTCACCTTCCAAAGGCCAACCTAAATAAGTCAGCTTGGCATGCTCTGCAGAAACTAAACAAGTCCAGGGACAAAGGGTATATGAAAGTACAGTCGACTGGAAAAGTTGCCCCCCCCCGCCACTTACGAAGGAAAAGTTGAGTCTTGAACATCAGAATGAACTGTGTGCATAGATGCAGCACCAGTGAATTGCTGTCCTGCGTGGACCAAGCTCAGGTGTTAACGTGGGCAGTTGGAGACAGATCAGATCCTAGAGTTATGACACACTGGGCAATTCTCCTGCGTGGCAAGGACGGGGTTTTTTTAATGCTGAAGAACACTCAAGATCTGGAACCCACTGCTTACATCCACCGACCTCGTTCCGATGTGTGTAGACGAGGGTTGCCAGCCTCCAGGTGGGGCCTGGGAATCTCCCGCTTTTACAACTGATCCCCAGCTGAGAGATCAGCTCCCCTGGAAAAATGGCTGCTCTGAAGGGTGGACTCCCCTCCCCTCCCCAAACCCCGCCCATCCTGGCTCCACCCCCAAAGTCTCCAGGTATTTTCCAACTCAGACCTGGCAGGCCTAGTGTGAACCAGGCCCGGGGCCGGCCACAGGAACCAGAGTAAAATCAAAACGGCATGTGTTACACATAGTTTGGTGATTATTTCTCCCAGTGCTTCCTGTTAAGCAATACAGCGGATGCAGCTGAGATTTAAACACCAAGATGGGCGGGTGCAGGGGCAGCGGGGCGGGGGGGGGGTCTATCACCATGCATCCTCAAGCTGCTTTTACCTCTGCTGCTATCGACACCAGGGGTCCTCAACCTTTTTGACACTGCGGGCACATTCGGAATTCTGGCACAGCGTTGTGGGCGTAGGCACAAAATGGCTGCCGCAGCTTACCTTCAGTCACACACTGAAGACCCTTGCACTGCCTGTGGTGGCAGCTGCTGTCCAAGCGATGTTTTTTTAAAATCTGCACAGCCAATCAAATCTTCAATGGCCAATCAGAGCAATAGCCCCAGGTGGCCCTGCCCACCTTACCTTCTAAAAAGACTTGGTTGTTGTTGTTGTTCAGTTGCACAGTCGAGTCCGACTCTTTGCGACCCCATGGACCAGATCCCTCCAGGCCCTCCTGTCTTCCGCCGTCCTCTGAAGTTGGCTCAATTTCATGTTCGTTGCATCGATGACACTGACTCACCATCTCATCCTTTGCCGTCCCCGTCTTCTTTGACCTTCAACCTTTCCCAGCATCAGGGCCTTCTTCTCCAGTGAGTGCTCCCTTCTCATTGGGTGGCCAGAGTATTTGAGCTTCAGTTTCATTATCTGGCCTTCCAGGGAACAGTCAGGGTTGATTTCTTTTAGGGTTGACTGATTTGATCTTCTTGCAGTCCAAGGGACTCTCAAGAGTCTTCTCCAGCACCATAGTTCAAAAGAATCTATTCTTCGGCGCTCGGCCTTCCTTATAGTCCAACTCTCGCAGCCATACATGACTACTGGGAATACCATTGCTTTGACCATGCGGACGTTTGTTGGCAGGGTGATGTCTCTACTTTTTATCATGCTGTTTAGGTTCGCCATCGCTTTCCTCCCAAGGAGCAGGCGAAAAAGACTTGGTAGGTACCTGGAAAGGTGCCAGCGTTCGTCATGGCACCCACGGGCACGTCGGGGGACCCCTGATCTACACCTAGGGTTGCCAGCCTCCAGGTGGGGCCTGGAGATCTCCCGTTCTTGCAACTAATCTCCAGCTAACAGAGACCAGCTCCCCTGGAGAAAATGGCTGCTTTAAAGGGTGGACTTTATGGCATCGTACCCTGCTGAGACGCCTCCCCTTCCCAAACCCCGCCCTCTCCTGGATCCACCCCCCAAAGTCTCCAGGTATTTTCCAACCCACACTTGGGAACCCTATCTACACCGGCACCCTGAATTAAACAAAAGGGGGAAAAACACTCCTCCAAAACACTTAGATATATTAACTTTATTAGGAGTATGCTCTTCAAAGAAATGGCCAAGAGAACTGTACAGCATCGGAGTCTAATACATTTCAGCCTTGCTCTATTCCCCATCGTGGACGCACGCACACACACACACTCTCACACAAGCGCACGCACACAATCTCCCCAAAAGGTCTTCGGATACTGCTCTAACACAGCTGCGCTCTCAGCCGTGCCCACAGGACACCAGCCCTTCCTGGACAAGCGATTGCTTCATACCTCTCTCTCCCCTGCCCTTCTTGCCATTGGATCCAAGCCCTCCTCCCGCTTCTTGGAGTACAAAAAAAAGAGTACACTTAGCAGAAGAATACCATAACCGCTGCCGTCCCCAGGGCCGTAATGCTGGACTGGCCAGGAACAGGAGGCAGTCCCTCAAGCAGTGAACGTGTCCCGGTTTGTAAAAAAAAAAATTAAATAGGATTTCCCGTCTTCCCACCTACCCCACCCCAAAGCACCCATGTTTACATATTTAAATAAAAGTAGCCCACTCAGAAGTGTAAACTTTGTCCGATGCTGTGATCTGTCAAACAGTTAAGCAAAAGTTCAAGTAACGAAGATTCACTGGTGGCTTCCAGATTGCGTATTGTGCATTCCAGAATGTGGAAGCCAGAGTATTTGGACTGCCTGGAAACTTGGAGAAAGGAGACAGCTTGTTTGCACGCTGTCTCCGTGGGATGAAAGACTACCTTTCGGAGACTTGTCCCTAGATTCAGCTCAGCTTCACCAAATCTCCCCTGCCTCTTTATCTCAGTGCCGGCAAGGGGTACTGATATCCCAGGCCTGGCCGCCATGTTTTCTTCTTGTTATACAGGCAATATTATAAACCATCCTGGCAGTCGGTTCATGAATCATGGGTAAAGGAGCGGCACCAACCTCACCCCAAACTGAACTGAGAAATATTCATTTAGGGCATATCCACATGATTCTGATGTAGGGTATCAGGTCACGAGCAGACATGACAAAGAGCGCAGATCCCAATCTGCCTGGGAAAGGCAAGCGACTCAAATGTACAGCCCCAAGTCAAGTTCAGAGCTCCACAAGGAGGAAAGAAGTACTTTCAGTCTGTGCTCAGTTTTGCTAAGCAAACCCGAACTCCCCGCTCTGTCATTAGCTTTTTAAGGAAGGAAAGGTGAAGACTGTGAAGGACATGTCTTCGTTCCTTTAAAAAACACGAGAGAGTGAGAGAGAGAGTACACACATGCATGTGCTTTGATTAGCAAATCCAAGCAGTATTTGAAGGGTTAAACCCCCTCTTCCTCTCCCCACATAGCCCTGATCAGAGTGGGAGGTACACAAACGCACAGTTTGCCTTTCTTGGGCAGAGAGTTGTGATCTTCATCGTGTCTGTTGGCGCCCACAAATCTCCTGTTTCTGCCCATGGCTGCCCACAGAGGTCCTGCTGCCCACCAAGGTACCCCATGATCCTTTGGCACACAAAGATTAGCTGTGGGAGGCTCATAATCCCAGGCACACTGGAGTCACGATGACCCTGAACATGCTCAAAGGCATATCTTTCTTTAGCCCATTCCAAGGCAAGGGGCTTGGCTTAAACATGTCGGGCTGAACTTTGGTGGAAACATATCTAGGAAAAGGATAAAGACTTCTGTCCAATGTGATCTCCCATCCTCGCCGCTCTCTAGAGGTTAACCTCTTATTCCCAACCGCAAACTCATTCCAGTGTCCCCATTTTCCCCCAAGCCAGTGATAACCATGCATTTTCACACGCCTGTCAGTGCTTTGGCTTCCCTAGGCCCTGATAACACCTCTGTGGCTACTGGGCTGTTTCACATCTGCAAAACCCTAATACTGAAGGGCTAAGAGTCCAGCTGTGACCATTTGGGGGTCGACAGCTCTTCCAACACTTCCAAGGGGCCCCATAGTCTTCATCTTGAATTCCCGATTCAAAGGCTTCTGCCTCTTTTATGCCGTGTGCCCTGGCCGGCGGCCGGCTCGCCTTCTTGTTCTTCATGCAGGGTATTCCCCCATTGTCAGCCTCACTCTATCCCACCCCTCACAAACAAAGATTTTCTTCATCTCAAGAGTCTTACGAACGTAAGAAGCTGCCCCGTCAAGGGTCAGACCGTTGGCCCGTGGAGCTCAGTGTTGTGACGGGCAGCGGTTCTCCAGGTTCCGAATGATCTTTCCCACCATCTGCCAGCTGCGATCTTTACCTTAAAATGTCAGGGACTGATCCTGGAACCTTTATGCAAGACATTTCCTCGGCCGCTGAGCCCCGCCCTTCCAGAGTCCAAAGTCCCACCCCAGGTTATAGCCACAAGAAGTCAGAAGGCACGGGGAGACTTTTCCCCTGGAATTTCAGACCCCCTTTTCAGACAGCCTTCTCTAGGCATTCGTGAGCTGCAAGGACAGACCACAACGTGTCCAGAAGTCATTGGGGAGATCGTAGCCATCCCTAAGAGACAGGAAACTGCTGTTGCCACATTCCTGAGTCTTGGGTAGCCCAAAACTCACACTCCGATTTGTATAACACCAGGCAGAGAAGCAGAGCATTGTGGGGGGCAAGCAGCCATGTCTTTTCCGGTGCAGACAGAGGATAACTGTCCTCTGGGGCTCAAGTCAGAGTCCTTCAGCAATGGTAAATCTCCTGCTCGGAGACGGGACCGATCCGTCGGGACCCCGTCTCCCTCGCTTCCCAGATATTGTCGTAACTGAAGTCACTTTGGAAGCTTTGGAGTTCTGCGTAATCGTGATAGGTCGAGTCGAGCCGCTCTCGTCCGTTTTCCGGCAGGTCATATGCGCCGACGCTTTTGTCTGGGGAAGCGGGGGACTGAAGTTAGTCTATTTGCAAAGAAAGCTGCCCTGCTGAATCAGACTACTGGTCTGCCCAGCCCTGTGTTGTGAGTTCTCTCCCAGGCCTGCAACCTGAGATTCTTTTAGCCGGACACAACACGGGCCACTCATTGACTCCACTGGAGCTTTGAGCATTTCTGATTGGATCTAAGAAAATCCAAGGGGCAAAGGAAATATTGTGCATCTTGACGAGTTGCCCACATTGTGACTCAGGAAAATTTGATACCACTGACTCCATGGGTAAACACCTTAGTGTAAGGTCTATTCTGTGTATGGTCTGTATGTTACTGTTAAATTAATGGAGTGCTCAGTACGGCTTATATCACTGAGGAAGGCCAGATACCAAAATGCATTTGGTACTGGTTCTTGTAGGGCTACGGTGGCTCAGAGGTTAAGATGGTGAGCTGCAGACCGCAAGAACTAGTAAAGGTAAAGGTTTCCCTTGCTCGAAAGCTAGTTGAATACGACTCTAGGGGGCGGTGCTCATCTCTGGCCAGCGCTGTCCGAAGACATTCCCGTGGTCATGTGGCCAGCATGACTAAACACCGAGGTGCACAGAACGCTGTTACTTTCCCACTGAAGCGGTACCTATTTTATCTACTTGTGATTTCTTGCTTTTGGACCACTAGGTTGGCAGAAGCTGGGGCCAGAGACAGCAGCTCACTCCGTCACGTGGCACTGGGGTCTCGAACTGCCAAACTACAGACCTTCCGGTCTGCAGCTCAGCATCTTAACCACTCTACCCAGTATTGTCTGTCTGCTCTGAGCAGCAGTAACTCACCAATGCTTCAGCCTGAGATTTTTCACGGCTCTGCATCCTACACTCCTTTTAACCGGAGATGTCCAGGACTGAATTTGGGCCCCCTGGATGCAAAGTTCACGTACCACCACCGAGCTATTTCTTTGTGGTTTCTGCTGAGTTCAGACCATTTCCCCCCCGCCCCAATTTGTTTGGTTTCATTAGGGTTCCCCACCACCACCAGGTGCCTGCCATTTGTCACTCCTTGTTCTTAGAATAAATTACCATAATATTTTGGGAGCATCCAAGGCTGGGGTTGTATCATGAGTGACACCGCAAGACAGACATCACACCTCCCTCTTTGTCAAGTGACTCACCTGAACCCGGCAAGGAAGGCGCTGGAAATTCATCCCTCGATAAAGTGCTCTGTTTCGGGGAAGAAAACAGAAATGCAAACACAGACTTAAAAAAATATCTGCAAGTGTTTCCCTTTCATGGCTTTATCAGCATTGCCTCTTAGGTGACCTAAGAGTCTGCGCCACCAACTCCCTTTCTGGCACGGTTTTATTTCTCCCCCCCCCCATGTGTTTATACCAAACATTCGGGAAAGCTGCATCGTGTAGATTTCTCCCCCATGGCCAAAGTAGAAAGAAAGGACCAAGACACAGACCCTAATAGGTAACCAAATGCCATATACAAGAGGGCACGGTGTGCTTACATGGATCAGGGTACAATTACTGGGCTTTTGGAACACAGGTGACTTTGTAGCTTAATTCTTTCTCTTAGACCAAACGTGTTTTTTTGATTCTAGACTTCAGTCTGCTCCAGCTCTTACAGTTTGCCCTTGGGACACAGCTGAGTAAAGTAGTATCGGGGTTTTCTCCCCTTCCCCTGTGCAATTCAGGGGCCTCTCTGTGTTTCTCCAGCTTTGTGGAATTACCTCTGAGACGGGAACATGGCAGAAGAAATGCCCTGCTGGATTAAACCAGATGTCCATCTATTCCAGGGCCTGATCCCCAAATACGGCCAAGCCAGAGGCAAGCAAAGCATAAGGGCAGCAGACCTGTCCTATTTTCAGTATAGTAAAGGTAAAGGTTCCCTTGCTCGAAAGCCAGTCGAATCCGGCTCTAGGGTTGCGGTGCTCATCTCCATTTCAAAGCCGAAGAGCCAGCGCTGTCCGAAGACATTCCCGTGGTCATGTGGCCGGCATGACTAAACCCCAAGGCGCACGGAACGCTGTTACCTTCCCACCGAAGTGGTACCTATTTATCTACTTGCAATTTCTTGCTTTCGAACTGCTAGGTTGGCAGGAGCTGGAACTAGAGACGGGAGCTCACTCTGTCATGCGGCACACTCGGGTCTCGAACTGCTGAACTACCGACCTTCCACAACCTGCAGTTCAGCGTTTTAACCACTTGAGCCACCGCAGTATACTCAGTATACTCAGAGGTAAAATGCAACTGAATTTGGAGGCTCTATTTAGTTATAACAATGGTAACCAGCTATTGACAGACAGGAAAACCTACCATTACAATATTGCACTGTGTTATCTACTGAATTGTTTTAGTTGGCTTTATGACTGTTTGGTGTAGTGGTTAAGTGTGCAATCTCTAATATGGGAGAACCAGGTTTGATTCCCCAACTCCTCCACTTGCAGCTGCTGGATTACCTTGGGCAAGCCATAGTTCTGTCAGAGCTGTCCTTGAAAGAGCAGTTTCTGTCAGAGCTCTCTCAGCCCCACCTGCCTCACAGGGTGTCTGTTGTGGGGAGGGGAAGGGAAAGGAGTTTGTAAGCCACTCTGAGACTCCTTTGGGTAGTGAACGGCGGGGTATAAATCCAATCTCTTCTTCTTCTTCTTCTCGTCTAAACTTCTACACCCAAGAAGCAAATGGCTGCCTGTAAGGTCCTGATCCTGACGCCTGGGCTACGTTAAGAAGCCTTTTGTCTATCCTGAACCTCCTGCCTGTCAGCTTCACCAGATGTCCACGAGGTTCTAGTATTTTGGGAGAGGGAGAAAAAAGTTCTCTTTGTCCACTCTCTCCACCCCATACCTAATTTTAGAAACCTCTCTATCATCATGACCTCCATTAGCCTTTCCTCGCAGGGAAGATGCTCCGAGCCCCTCTTCGTCTTGGTTGCCCTCCTCAGTACCTTTTTCCAGCTCTGCAGGGTTGTTGCTCCAATGATAAAATAGAGGGGAGAACGACGTTGTTGCTCCAATGATAAAATAGAGGGGAGAACGACGTCGTAAACCCACTTTAAGTCGTCATTGGGGAGGAAAAGGGGGTATAAATATGTAAAGGTAAAGGTTTCCCTTGCTCGAAAGCCAGTTGAATCCGACTCTAGGGTTGCGGTGCTCGTCTCCGTTTCAAAGCCGAAGAGCCAGCGCTGTCCGAAGACATTTCCGTGGTCATGTGGCCGGCATGACTAAACACCGAGGCGCACGGGACACTGTTTCCTTCCCACCAAAGTGGTACCTATTTATCTACTTGCAATTTCTTGCTTTCAAACTGCTAGGTTGGCAGGAGCTGGAACTAGAGACGGGAGATGCGGCAACTTGGGTCTCGAACTGCTGAACTACTGACCTTCCACAGCCTGCAGTTCAGCGTCTTAACCCCTTGAGCCACCGCGGCTCAATATGTAGACAGATACAATAAAGTGTTACAGGAACTCCACTTCGAAATACAGGAAGCTGGTTCGTACAAATTTGGTGAAATGGTCCTTCTGGGCCAGCAATGACTGACTGTCCACGGTTCTCCAAATGCTGGGGCAAAGGTCTTTCACGGACCCTTCCGTTGGAGATGCCAGGGATTGAACCTGTAACCTTCTGCATGCAAAGTTCGACCAATGAGCTAGGCCCCCTTCCCTATAGCTTTGGATTTTACTCACTGTTGCCAAATAATCCAGGTCTGAAGGAGGCATCACTGAAAAATTCAGCGTGGGGCCTGGGATGCTGAACCTCTTTGCCGCGATTGGCTCTCGCCAGTGGTTGCCAAGTAACGCCTGTGAGTTCTTCTTCTGCAGCGGAGGATGATGGGACACAGGGACAGACACCGGCATGGCTGGGTAGCCGTTTTGCTGCTCCAGGCCAGTCTGACCATGGCGTTTCAGGAACTTTCAAGAAAGGAGAATATCGCTGGGTTATACTTCGGTTGCTTCCAGGAGAGAAAAAAAGCTCTCCTCTGCACCTAATCCTGCTTGGACCCCTTTCGTAGTTGTATAGGACAAATCAGTTTAATGGAGCAAATATTTCTGTCTGTCTGGAGACTGTCCAAGGTCTCAGGCTAGAGGGAAATCTTTTTTGGATCAAGACCTTCTACCTACAAAGCCCGTGTTCTACTTATGAGCTACGGGTCTCTCATTTTCATACGTTTGCAATCTGCAAATCCTTCTAGGAAAACAAGCAACAGATTGACAAAAGGTACCCCGCGACGAGCCCTCTCTGTATTAGACGTCACGGCACTCTGCTGCACAATACATTAAGAGGAATATCCCACGATTCGATCTCCCAACATTATTCTTTTCTAACCTTAAAAACAAAATCATACTTGTTTTAAACCTTAAAATCCTGTAAAAGATTTGGATCAGGAGCGTGATGGCAAAGCTTTGGGATCACATCATTTTCACAATAGGGTCAGAATGTAATTCCTCACTTTGACATCCAAGAAGATTTATTCTTGCTGTGTGAGTATGAAAAAGTAAAGTATTACCTATGCTCAAAGGAGCTGGCCTAGTTCTTTTGTTCCTGAATGAGTTACCGTACAGTATGTTCATAGTATGTAAGCCCAGAACTGTGACTCTTCAAGAGAGACAATGGCACCTCTCTTCTTTAGGCATGTATTTACTTTATTTATATCCCCCCTTTCTTCCTAATGGGACCCAAAGCAGCTTACATTGTTCTCCTGTCTCCTGTTTTAGCCTCGCAACACCCCTGTGAGGTAGGTTAGGTAGACAGTGACTGGCCCAAGATCACCCATGGCACACAGGAATTCAAACCCGAGTCTCCCAGATACTAGTTGGACACTTTAACCACTACACTACGCTATACTGCCCCTGTGTTGGGAGTGATTTGAAGGATCTCACCCCTTCCCCCATTGGAAATTTATTCGCACAATGGTTGTGTCAGAACAGTAACTCATGCAGAGATGCATCAAGCAGCCCCTCTGTGGAAAGATGTGTTGGGGCTCGGGCGCCTTTATACATTTGACAGCATACAAGCCGTTGTCCAAACCCAAAGTATAAAAATTACTGTATTCCATATTTTGCCTTCCTGTCGTCAACTTAATATGTGCAATACCTCTTCTAGGAAGCTGCAGTCTGCTGCCTGGTGTGAAGAGGGAGAGTTAGGCGTGTAGGGGTCAGCATACATGGGGGAGGAAGACAGGGGTTTCTTCTCCAGGATTTCAGGCTCTGTGCAGTGCTGACTTCTCGGCAAGTTCCACTGTCTCATCTACAGAGGGAAGGAGGAAACAACATGGATGCGGCACTCGCACAGTAACACGGTCCCAGGGAAATGTTCAGATTTTTAGAAGTCCAAATGCAATTCTGCCCTGACCTGCATAGCCCTGTCTAGCCTGACCTTGTCCGCTCTCGGAAGCTAAGCAGGGTCGGCCTTGGTCAGTATTTGGCTGGGAGGCCACTAGGGACTACCAGGGTCATGGCACAGGACGCAGGCAATGGCAAACCAGTCGGAATTTGCAAGTTCTCTCTCTGTAGTCGTGAAAGAATTAACTTTGTTAGGCATGCTGATGTCCCATCTGGTTTAGTGAGGGACCCGACAGTGAAGCCTCTAGGTATTTGCAGTCAGAGCAAGGTGAAAAAAATGCATAATTTTTAAGTTGCAATGTGAACCTTAAGGGAGTTATGGGATGGTTGTGAATGGTTGTGTGAGTGTATATGAGTATGGTTGTAGGTCACCGAAATGATTGCATTTTTAATTTCGTTGTACTATGTACAATGACAATAAAGTATATTATTATTATTAGTAGTAGTAGTAGTGGGATTTTCCAGTTGGGTAATCCATACACTGGGCTAGGCCTGGAGAGTAAGGACTGAGTTTCAATGTATGGCCCTTTGTTGTTGTCGCTCTAGTCTTCCCTCACACGAGTTTCAGAAGTCTAAGGATAAACATACAGGTTACAGTAGCCAGGAAAAAAAATGTTTTCCCTGTATTGTTTGTTTCTTTCAACCAGTGTTCCCTCTAAGCTGAGTTAGTCTGATCCAGCTCACAGTGTTTTAGCCTCCTGCTCACACAGTTTTGTCTCAGCTCAGGAAGGAGGGCTCCAGAGCAGACTAATTTATGCAGGAGCCAAATTGCTCGCTCACAACTATAATGCCAGTCGCTCACAAAGTAGAAGTTTTGCTCACAAGACTGCACAACTGAGAGGGAGCATTGCTTTCAACCCCCAATAATTCCTTCCCTCGTTAGTAAGCAAAGTATCTTTTTAAAGCTAATACAAGTGTTCTGCTGCGTTACTAGAAATAGAAGAACAGATTGGTTTTATATCCTGCCCTTCACTACCCAAAGGAATCTCAGAGCGGCTTACAATCTCCTTTCCCTTCTCCTCCCCACAACAGGCACCCTGTGAGGTAGGTGGGGCTGAGAGAGCTCTGAGAGAACTGCCCTTGAGAGAACGGCTCTGAAATAACTTTTAACTGACCCAAGGTCACACCAGCAGCTGCATGTGGAGGAGTGGGGAATCAAACCCGGTTCTCTCAGATTAAAGTCCACACTCCTAACCACTACACCAATCTGGCTTTCTGGTTCCTAGTTCCAATAAGATTCTCCCTTCTGTTTTCCAGATATGGACCACTCTGCCAATTATATTATTGAAAAAGGGTAGGGTGATGCTTGCCAAAATACAGGCATCAAAATCTAAATGCGTTTTACATGGCAAGCACCATTTCAGAAGAGGCATTCCCTCTTCTCTCACACAGGCAAGGGGATGCCTCTTCTAAGACACACCTTCCACAACACACCTGTACTTCACGTACAAACAAGGAAAGGAGGCCTTTTTCCTTAATCAGTATCGTTTTACAGGGCTCTTTTTGTAGAAAAAGCCCAGCAGGAACTCATTAGCATAATAGGCCACACCCAACAACAGGAACTCATTAGCATATTGGGCCACACCCCTGACAGCACAGCTCATTAGCACATTAGACCGCACCCCCATGTTACCAGAAGTGTGGTCATCGAGCCACACCCACCTTTTGCTTGTTATTCTGTTTACCTTGTTTGCTGTCCAAACCCAGGGCTTTTTTGTAGCAGGACCTCCTTTGCATGTTAGGCCATACACCCCTAATGTAGCCAATCCTAATGAGTTTCTGTTGTTGGTTGTGGCCTATTATCCTAATGAGTTCCTGCTGGGCGTGGTCAACTTGGGAGCCAGCCGGAACTCCGTTCCTGTGCGTTCCTGCCCAAAAATAGCCCTGGTTTTGCACATAAAACTTGTGTAGCTCTAACTGCTTCATTGGTTGATGAACCAGCTTGTACAATCAGCCACCCTAACATCAGTCCCATCTTCTGGTCACTATATCTATGGACATGTGAAACTGCCTTCTACTAAATAACTGGTCATCAAAGTCAGTATTGCCTACTCAGACTGGCAGCCGCTCTCCAGGGTCTCAGGTGGAGGTCTTTCCCACCACCTCCTGCCTGGTCCTTTTTAAGTGGAGATACCAGGGACTGAACCTGGGGACTCCTGCATGCCAAGCAGATGCTCTACCACTGAGCTACGGCCCCTGCCAAATCGATGGCTCCCTTACATTGTTTATGTCCAGATGCAGCGGGGGAACAGCTGGATGTTGCTGGTGGACCAGGGCTGTGTATGGCTCATTGTACACTGGAGACAAAACCTCTCTGTTGGGATGTTCAGGAGTGGGCTGGAAGCGGCTCCTTTCTGAGTCCTGGTTGCTGGGCTGAGGCTGTTGGGCCGGCTGGCTGCTTTTTCCTTTGGACTTCCGAGAACTTCCTTTCCTTTTCAGTTCAGGTTTCGGCATCCCTGTAGCCATCAAGACTGGGTTTGCAGGACACTGAAACAGGAGAAGAAATTGCTTCTGTCAGTCATCCTAGCATTCATCTCCGATTATATCTATTTCCCTCTTAGCATGCACATAAGAACATAAGAGATGCCAATGTTGGATCAGGCCAAAGGCCCATCCAGTCCAACACTCTGTATCACACAGTGGCCAGAAATACCAGTGCCATCAGGAGGTCCACCAGTGGGGCCAGGACATTAGAAGCCCTCCCACTGTTGACCCCCCCAAGCACCAAGAAGACAGAGCATCACTTGCCCCAGAGTCCCTATCTATACCTTGTGGCTAATAGCCACTGATGGACCTCTGCTCCATATGCCCATAAAACATTAAAGAATTACAGACAGAGGTTAGATCCATAAGAGAGAAGGAAATCTGCCAAGATTCTCCTGAGAATCTCAGCTTTCATCTGGGAAACAACAGGACAGGATTCTAGCCCCTGCAACTGTGCAGATATACTCAAAAGCATCTGGGCAATCTTAGAAGCCAGAGAGGTGGCTGAACAAGCTTTTGGGCTTTTCTGCTTTCTCGTTTTCCTCAATTATTTGCTCCTTCTAGAGGTCTATTAAATATTACATCGCTGTACGTCCGGCATAAATCTGCAGGTTTTTATGTCAGACATAACATGTGGAACACAAAAAATCCGAAGCGACAGGAACATACAAGCGAAGAAAACAAGAATGCTTGAAAGGCCCTTTGAGTGGTTGGGAACAGAGCTTTTTTGAAAACACAGTTTCTAGTCCTTAGGCCTACCCAAATACGATGAGCTAAGTAGGCCACTGCCCATGCACTGGACTTAGAAAGATATAACTCTTATTTGAATTGCACTGCCAGTCACGACTCCTTCCCAAATTCCAAATTCTACATTCCTGTTCGGTTTAAAAGGCCAAAGAATTCTCCTTCGGCCTGCACTTTTCAACCATGCACTTACACGGCCAGGTGGAGGCAGACAGTCTTCACCCAGCCCGTTTTCAGTCACACCAAACAACTGCCTCTCTGCAAGGGAGCCCATGCTGTTCTGAGAGTGGTGAGTGGAAGTCGCTCCCTTGCCTCCCGACGCCCAGGAGTTTGTTCGGCCTTCGGAGTTGAGTGAGCCTCTCCCGCTGCCGGAGCACTAAATCAATAAAGGAGGGAGCAAGCAATTGGAGTTATTATGGTTTGCAAAGATCTACAGGGGACAGAGTGTTGGCCGTAGTCAACAAAGATCAAATTTCAAATCCCGGTCAGCTTCCAAGATCACCACATGCATCTTACTTTTGGGGGAGGAGGCATTACGTCACAGCTGACTTATGGCGACCCTGTGGGGTTTTCAAGGCAACAGATATTCAGAGGTGGTTGGCCATGGCCTGCCTCTGCGCAGCAACCCTGGACTTCCTTGGAGGTCTCCCATCCAAGTACTAACCGGGGCCGACCCTGCTTAGCTTCCGAGATCTGACGAGATTGGGCAAGCCTGGGCTATCCAGATCAGGGCAGCTTACATTGTACAGGTTTGAAATAATGAACAATAAGCACGAAAATTAAGAATCTCTCCTTATATATAATTGAATAGTGGGTGCCAAAGTTCTAATTCTAAAATGCACTCCCTTAGTGTATGGCTGATGGCATTGCTCCTCAGCATATATCGCCACCAATCAGAAGGCAAAGCCCGGGTCCCGCCCACACCACAACTGCTGGGACAACCTGGTCTTTTGCACTTTGGCATATGGAAGCTGATTGTACTTCACTCCATTCCACACCTCAAACTCTCCCCCCCCCCCGCAAGGCAGTTGGAATGTCAGTTACATATGGAACCTGCTGTATTCTGGTGGTGTGCAGGTCCCAGGTTCATGTTTTAAAGGCAGACTGACACTGTTTGCCCAAAGCCAGAGCACTCTCCCAAAGCCTCTTTCTAGATCCCGTTGTATTTATTTCCACAACGGGCCTTATTTCTAGTACTAAATATAAAAGCCATTTCCCAGCCTTCTGTCAGTGTGGGGTCACCAGGAAACAGAACGGTGGGTGGGGCTATGCAGATGAAGGGGTGGGGCTATGCAGAATGCGGCATCCCCATCTCAGTGTCGCCTCTGGTTCCAGTGCTGGAAAGAACTAAGGCTGGAACTTTAGTAGGGTTGCCAGTCTCCAGGTGGTGGCTGGAGATCTCCCAGAATTACAACTGGACTCCAGGTCAGAGAGATCCAATTCTTGTTGGGATTTACAAGTTCTCTCTCTGTAGTTGTCATGACCCCCAGAGGGGTCTTTGGGTTTCGCCGCCACCACCCTGGACTTTCGGGTCCCTCGGGAGTCCCAGGGTATCCCCCAAGCCCTTGCTAACCGAGTGTTACAGGCGTGAATGACCCAGGCGGACACCAACCAAATCACACAGGTTTATTAGGAAAATTGGGCAAGGTGCGTCAACTGGATAACAGGGGGAAAGGTCAAATGAAAATAAACTAACGCAACTGCCTTACTTGGCTTTTCCTATCAGGCCCCAGCCTGCCTAACTCACTCAGGCGCCTCCTTCTCCCAGCCCGGCCTGTCTCTCACGAGACCCAGCCGCAGGGAGGCAAAGGACGGAAGCTTCTCCCCTTCTCGCTCAGAGACTCCAGTTACCATCAACCAGCAGCCAGCAACTGCCTTAAACTGTCTTCCCCCAGACTCCGTTCCCAACAGATTCTAACGGTCTCCTTTAGAATCTTTCCTGCCTCTCCCAATGCCTTCTGGGAGTTGTAGGCCTAGCCGCCTCCTACTGCCACCCAGGCCTCTTAGGCTGGCTAGGCCGTACTGGCACAGGCCAGATCATGACAGTAGTCATGAAAGAATTAACTGTATATTTATGCATGCTGATGTCCTAGCTAGTTTAGACGAGGGACCCAATGACTAAGCCTGCATGTAATTGCCACCAGAGCAAAGTGACAGAACGCATCATTAGTTAGCATTGGGATTCTCCAATTGGGTAATCAATACTTTGGGGGTGGACTAGAGAGTAAGCACTGGGTTTCAGTTTTATTGGTCTCTGTCGCTCTCTTCTAGTTTGTTCTCACACAAGGTTTACATGTGCTTAAGTAAAGATGTAGGATAGGGCAGCTAGACAAGATATAACTGGTGTAGTATCAAATCGACCCCTAGAGGGAGCCAAACACGTGCAGAACAGGGAAAAACCAAATGCATGTGGGGCGCCAAGAAATCAGAAGAGAAATTAGGGTCCATCTAGTACTGTGGAAACTTACCAGCCCCAGATTTGGTGGTTTTGGTCCTGATAAGCTTTCAGATCCAGAAAGGGAGGAATCAGCATTTCGGAACTGAGCTGTCTTAAGACAGTACAGCCACTCTTGGTAATCTTCATAACTGGGGCAAATCACCCGAATGGAGTTGATTAATCGGCCTACGAGGAACATAAATCGATAAGTTTAACTGTGCTTTCTCTGTTTCTCTTTGGAGTCCTCTGTTTTGTAAAGAGTTTGCTTTGCAGGTGAAACGCATCGATGTCTGTTCGTATAACAGCGTTGTGTCCCAGCCCCAGCTCTAAATACCTATTCTTCTACTCCACATTAATTATACATTAATTAATAACTACCACCTCCTGGTTCCATCTGTCGCATATATAATAGTAGAGGGGCTGGCTCATGCCAATCACAAACACACAAAACAGCAAAAGCAGGCTGCCTACAGACAAGGTAGGGGTGTTGTTGGCTATTTAGCAGAGTGTGTTTAGCTTCTAAGAAAAAAAGTTTACTTATAGAAGAGAGAAGAGATTGGATTTATACCCTGCCCTTTACTACCCAAATGCATTCCCTCTCCCCTGTTCGTAGTACCTTCTATTAGAAAAGAGGTCTTCTGGTTTTCTTCAAACTGCACTTGGATCGCGTTTAGAGGCAATTCTCCCTGTTTGTATAAAAGGGTTAGAATGAGACATTTGAGGATTAAAATATTTCACCATCCATAGTCTCCCAGGTTCCCAATACTGTCTACACCAGGCTTGTAAATCACCAGTTGACTTTTCTGAGTAAAGGAGTCAGGAAACCATTATAAAGTCGATTGTAGTCTTTTACAGCCGCAAGTAAACCAGTGAGGCTACTGAAACCTTTCTGTGGGCTAGTAATTTCTGTGCATTTATTGACAAGTCTGGTCTGACTTGTCCGTGGCCCACTTCACACCGATGCCTTCCATCCTTGAACTTCATCCTCCCGACTGAGCTACAAAACTCAGGGAATGATTTGGTAAATTCCAGAACTCAACACCGACTGTGGCCTGTATTGCTAATAATAACTCATTATAATTATTGCATGACACTGTGTATTGAACAGCCAGGAGATCCTAAGATTGTCTGGCAGCCAAAGGTTCTAGCCCCTTTAGAGTGATGTACCACTAGGTGGCGAGCTAGACTTGTTTTTAAGGCAAGAGACATTTCAGAGGAGGTTTGCCATTGCCTGCCCCTGAGTCATGACCGCGGTATTCCTTGGAGGTCGCCCTTCCAAACACTAGCCACGGCTGACCCTGCTTAGCTTCCGAGAACTGACGAGATTGGGGTAGCCTGGGGCATCCAGGTCAGGTTCTAGACCGCTGTGCGTAGCCTACTGTATATAGGATCCCCCTCTGTGATTTTTCCCACCGCTGTGGCTCAGGTGGTTAAGACGCTGAACTGCAGGCTGTGGAAGGTCAGTAGTTCAGCAGTTCGAGACCCGAGTTGCCGCATGACGGAGTGAGCTCCCGTCTCTAGTTCCAGCTCCTGCCAACCTAGCAGTTCAAAAGCAAGAAATTGCAAGTAGATAAATAGGGACCACTTCGGTGGGAAGGTAACAGCGTTCCGTGCGCCTCGGTGTTTAGTCATGCCGGCCACATGACCACGGAAACGTCTTCGGACAGCGCTGGCTCTTCGGCTTGGAAACGGAAATGAGCACTGCAACCCTAGAGTCGGACTCGACTGGCTTTCGAGCAAGGGAGACCTTTACCTTTAATGTGTCGAGCTAATACTAGTGCCATGCTTCTGTTTGGTATTTTGGAATCCTAGTTGCAGACTTCTGCAATCCGAAGGCATTGTTTATTGAATGCCCCGTTTTGTTGACTACTGATTCACTCTGTGTAGTCAGCCGTGAGTCCCTGTGAGAAAAGCCACGTCATCGGGAATCTGTCTGGTTCGATCAGCCTCTCAGGATGGAACATCACAATAGGGACTCCAATCCTACAGCGATTATGGGTTCCCATAAATCGACACATCACTAGATAATGGCCAGTTAATGACGGAGAGGTCATAGAAGTATCTCCCACTACCAAGCCAAAAAGCCTTGAATCAAAACAAAAGGACAAGATTATGACCTCCCGCAAGGGTTAGGGGACGTCACATTTTGGGATTAGCAACGGAAGACCTTCCTGCGCAATACCAAAGAGTCCCGTGGGACCATAAAAACCAGCCCATTTATCGCGTCGTAGCCTCTTTGCGCAATGAGATTCAAGCACTCCAAGGCCTGACCGCGCTCGGGCTCTGCTATGGCACATCTGCTGAAAGATCACCCCTGGCGCTTGTGGCTGATTACAAGGGCTGATACGGTACAGGAAGGCAATTCCGTGACCCAGAAGGATTTTGTTCTCCGGCTGGTCTTGCTGAATCCCAGCCTTGGGTGATCTCTAATGCTATTTACTCTCTCAAGCAGTTTGTTCAGGATAAAGTGGCAGATTTAGCTTGATTTTCCGAGAAAGGCTGGTGACCGAGGGAAGGTGAATGTCTTGTAAGGGTCAAAGGTTTTGTTTTATTGAAAGATCGAACAAAACATCATGCATGTGGATGGTGTGTGTGTGAGACAGAGAGAATGAACGGTTGGTGAGTCCATGGCTCAGCGGCAGAGTATCTGCTTTGCATGCAGAAGGTCTCAGGTTCAATCCCCAGCATCTCCAGGTAAAAGGGTTAGGTAATAGGTCATATATCTGTCCATACATTACCTTTCCACTCAGTACTGGGAACTGTACCACATGATATCTCTGACTGTACAGAGCCATCGAACAAATGTAGAGCTCAGTGGCATCTTTAAGACCAGCAAAGGTTTATTCAAGGTATGAGCTTTCGTGGGCACGCACACTTTTTCCTTGAATAAATCCTGGTTGGTCTTAAAGGTGCCGCTGGACTCTGAGGGTGCGGCCAGACGGCGTGCCAGAGCGATTTAAACTGCTCCGGTTCCAATCAGATTGTATTTGATCCGGGACAAGCGCGGTCACATTACCCTCTCTCGCAGCGCAGCACATCGCTCCCAGGCGTCCACACAGCGGCGCACGTCAGCGGGTTTTTTTTTAAAAAAATATATCACAGTTTGCACATGCGCAGAACAAATTATCCCAAAAAGAATGCTCTGAAGCGAAGACTTCCCTTGAAACTTTTGCAACAAAACTGGCCTCCGTGAGGTCCCAGACTCATCTGAAGCCTAAAACTAGGCACTGTTTTTTAATTCCTTTTATTAACGCCAGGGTGAAGGTTCGCCCAAGCGCATATCGCCGACACCCAAAAAAAATGGCGGACGAAAACCGGAAGCCTCGGACTTCCGAGCAGGTGGCATCTTTAAGACCAGCAAAGGTTTATTCAAGGTATGAGCTTTCGTGGGCACGCACACTTTTTCCTTGAATAAATCCTGGTTGGTCTTAAAGGTGCCGCTGGACTCTGAGGGTGCGGCCAGACGGCGTGCCAGAGCGATTTAAACTGCTCCGGTTCCAATCAGATTGTATTTGATCCGGGACAAGCGCGGTCACATTACCCTCTCTCGCAGCGCAGCACATCGCTCCCAGGCGTCCACACAGCGGCGCACGTCAGCGGTTTTTTTTTAAAAAAAATATATCACAGTTTGCACATGCGCAGAACAAATTATCCCAAAAAGAATGCTCTGAAGCGAAGACTTCCCTTGAAACTTTTGCAACAAAACTGGCCTCCGTGAGGTCCCAGACTCATCTGAAGCCTAAAACTAGGCACTGTTTTTTAATTCCTTTTATTAACGCCAGGGTGAAGGTTCGCCCAAGCGCATATCGCCGACACCCAAAAAAAATGGCGGACGAAAACCGGAAGCCTCGGACTTCCGAGCAGGAGTGGCTCTACACCGGCGGAGGCGCGATCACACAGCAGGAAAATGCGGCTAGAACTGGAGCACCAGGAAACCACCACCTGGGGACCTGGTAGCAGAATACTACAGTTTAAAGGGTGTTTGAGGCGGTTGGCAACGGCTAGGGACGGGAGGCAGATGTTGGCTGTGTGATCGCACGTAAGCAGTCCATTTCTAACCGGCATGTATACCGGCTCAAATGGCCCATCTGAACGCGCCCTGAATCTGTTCAGCTGCTTCAGACCAATACGTAACTTTAAAGAGGCGGACTAATCACTAGAAATTTAAAAAAATAATAATGTGGAAAGTAACTATGTGTTAAACATGGAAAGGTATGAGTAGAGCTCCCAGGCCGTCTCTAGACACTGGTGTGCGGGTGTGTGTGTGTGTGGATAGGGTTGCCCAGGGCTCTTTTTGTAGAAAAAGCCCAGCAGGAACTCATTAGCATAATAGGCCACACCCAACAGCAGGAACTCATTAGTGCTTAGTTCTCGTGGCCCTTTCTGACATGCCTGAGGAAATGCTGATCGCCACTTTGGGTTCAGGAAGCAATTGTTCTCCAGGCCAGTTTGGCCAGGATAAGAACATAAGAGAAGCCAATGTTGGATCAGGCCAATGGCCCATCCAGTCCGACACTCTGTCACAGTGTGGCCCAAAATACCAGGTGCCATCAGGAGGTCCAGCAGTGGGGCCAGGACACTAGAAACCCTCCCACTGTTGCTCCCCCCCCAAGCACCAAGAATACAGAGCATCCCTTGCCCCAGACCGAGAGTTCCTATCAATACCTTGTGGCTAACAGCCACTGATGGACCTCTGCGCCACAGGTTTATCCAATTTCCTCTTGATCCTGGAGGGTTTTTTTTTTTTGCCATCTTCTGAGCATGGAGCAGGGGTCACTGGGTGTGTGTGTGTGGGGGGAGGTATTTGTGAATTTCCTGCATTGTGCAGGGGGTTGGACTAGAATACCCTGGAGGTTCCTTCCAGCTCTACGACTCTAGGTGTGTCGCTTCTCAGTTAAGCACCAAGGCCTCGCTGAAAGGGCCACTGCCCCATGGCCTGCTCTGGCAGAAACACCCACACACCCACGGCAGCTGCTAATTACACCCCATCCAAGCCAGGCGGTTGCCACAGAGTTGCTGAGAAAGAGACATTCCCGCTGTGGTATGCAGCAAATGGCTCCCTCTGACCCCTGTGCCAGCCGCCGGAGCCGTGGGGCAGGCAGGATGAGTCAAGGCGGGTAAACTTTGAGCGGGTGCCTGGAACGACAGCCGGAGGAGCTCAGCCCCAGGCAAAAGGCCAGGTTGGAGCAGGCAGCCCCAGACAAAGGGTGCCGGGATTCCTCCTGTTGTAAACTTTCGGGGAGGTGGTGGGGAATTTGGGCAAACTGCTGATGCGGCAGCCGAGGTTCCCATCAAAGAAATGGAAATCATGTGTGGTTTGTGTGCAGGCATGCTCCCTTAGACACAAGTGTCCTGCCAGAAGCTTCTGGGAAAGTCACAAAGGCATGAAGGCAAGGCTCTTCTCCATGGCAAGGGCTGATCTACTTGCCTCTGAATGTAGGGAACAAAGTCTGAGCCCAGTGGCACCTTTAAGACCAACCGAGTTTAATTCTGGGTAGACGCCTTCGTGTGCATGCAGACTCCTTCAGATACCAACCGATGAAGTGTGCGTGCACACGAAAGATCAGACCCAGAATTAAACTTGGTTGGTCTTACAGGTGCCGCTGGACTCCAACTCTGTCTTGCTGGAAGTCACGCACCCCAGACTGATTCCCTCTCTGGCCACCAAAAAGCGCTGTTTGGCTGG